TTTGGTAGTTGGGAGGGGTTATGTAACTCATTTATTTCTCATGGGACTTTGCTTCCTAGGGTTAAAATTCATATTCCCATTTAAATGCTGGCAAAAGTTTAATTTAAATCCACATTGTTAAAACAGGTATTTAGGTGTCTAACTCCTATTTAAATAAATTGAAAATAAGTTTCAACATGCCTTTTAGGATCTGAGCATATGTAATCCCCAAAGGTGTTAAGTATCTTTCATGAGACAGAGTGCCCTTGACTACCATTGTAAGAAGTTCTTAGCATTTGGCAGAATTTGTCTATAGTTGGTGTTGGCCCCTACTTGTATTTCACTTTTACAGTTTCATTCAGGATTGTTGCAATATGTACTTTAACAAAGTTACATATCAGAAAAAAAAGTCCAATCAGTAGAGCATCAGATTCTGACGCCTTTACTCACACTGAAGTCAATGGACTACATATTGTCTAGTTTTTATTTGGGTAGTTTATACTTGTCTAGTTATACTAGTATACTTCTCCTAGTTTATACTGAGGAGTCTGTAGTACTGGAGCAAAATGCAGGACAATGTAGCACTTTAAAGACTAACAAGATGGTTTATTAGATGATGAGCTTTCGTGGGCCAGACCCACTTCCTCAGATCAAATAGTGGAAGAAAGTAGTCACAACCATATATACCAAAGGATACAATTAAAAAAAATGAACAAATATGAAAAGGACAAAGCGTTAATCCAGAGTAATTTACAGTAGTCCTTTTCGGATATAAATAATGGTAGTGCCCAGTAGGGATGTTAGCAAGTAGTCGACTAGACAATTAACCAATAAGCCTCAACTTTTCAGTTAATCTTGTCGACTACTATGTACAAGAGGCAGCAGGAGCCAGTGCTGCCACCCCACCGCACTGCTGCCTCTGTCACGGCTGCTGCTTGAACCCCCCAATGGACAGGGGCTGTTGCCACTCTGCACTGCAGCATGTGGCAGCGGGCAGCTGGTCCACAAGGGGAGCTCTTTGTATCAGAGGCAGCAGCATGAGATGGACAGGGGGCTCCCAGGAGTACACTGCCAGCTCCGTTTCCAGGGACAATAGCCGTGTCACTGCAAAGATTTCATGTGATTATTCAAATACCCACTATCTAACTTCCCTAGTGCCGAGGTTAAACTAGAACTAACCTCAAAGCTTGCAAATAGTTCTCGGAAAACTGCAGCTTCATACTCAGCAGCAGTAACAAAAGCTATCAATGTTAGGAACTGTTAGAAACAGGAAATCTATGGTGTGATCCACTGTGTCCAGTTCTGGTTGCCCCATCTCAAAAGGATATTGTGGAATTGGAAAAAGTTCAGAGGCAGACAACAAAGATGATCAAGGACATGGCATGGCTTCCATATGAGGAGACCCCGAAAAGGATTAGGGCTGTTTATCTTAGCAAAAGGGACAACTAAAGAGAGAAGGTTATAATTCATGATTTTACAAATCTAGATGATGTGGAGAAAATGAAGAAAGGGTTATTTACTCTTTTCTACCAAACAAAATCCAGGGGTTCGATGAACATAAGAACAGCCATACTGAGTCAGACCAAGGGTCCATCTAGCCCAGTATCCTGTCTTTGAACTGTGACTAATACCAGGTGCCCCAGAGGGAATAAATAGAACAGGTATTCATCAAGTGGTCCCTCTCTTATCACCGATTCCCAGCCTCTGGCAAACAGAAGCTAGGAACATCAGTCCTACCCATCTTGGCTAATAGCCATTGATGAACCTGTCTACCATGAATTTATCTAGTTCATTTTGGAACCCTATTAAAGTCCTGGTTTTCACAGCATCTTCTAGCAAGGAGTTCCACAGGTTGGTTGTACGGTGTTTGAAAAAATGCTTCCTTTTGTTTTTTTTAAACCTGCTATATATTAATTTCATTTGGTAACCCCTAGATCTTATATTAGGGCAACAATTAAATAACTTTTCCTTATTCTCTTTTTTTGCTATAGCATCATACTGTTGACTCATATTTAGCTTGTGGTCCTCTATCACCCCTAGATCCCTTTCTGCAGTACTCCTTCTTAGACAGTCGCTTCCCATTCTCTGTGTGTGAGATCTGAGGAAGTGGGTCTGGCCCACGAAAACTCATCACCTATTAAACCATCTTGTTAGTCTTTAAAGTACTACACAGTCCTGTTTTTTGTTTTGACTGGTCTGTAGTTTTCTGAGTTGTTCTTATTTCGCTTTTTATAGATGGGCACTGTATTTTCCCTTTTCCAGTCTTCTGGTATCTCTCCCGACTTCCATGATTTTTCAAAGATGATAGCTAAAGAAATCTCCTCTATCAGCTCCTTGAGTGTAAACTAGGATGCATTTCATCAGGCCCTGGTGACTTGCAGACATCTAATTTTTCAAAGTAATTTTTATCTTGTTCTTTTTTTATTTTATCTTCTAAACCTACCCCATTCCCACTAGCATTCACTATGTTAGACATTCCTTCATCAGACTTCTTGGTGAAGACCGAAACAAAGAAGTCATTAAGCACCTCTGCCATTTCCAAGTTTCCTGTTACTTTTCCCTCCCTCCTCAGTGAGCAATGGGCCTACCCTGTCCTTGGTCTTCCTCTTGCTTCTAATGTATTTATAGAATGTCTTCTTGTTACCCTTTATGTCTGTAGCTAGTTTGAGCTCATTTTGTGCCTTTGCCTTTCTAATCTTGCCCCTGCATACCTGTATTGTTTGCCTATATTCATCCTTTGTAATTTGTCCTAGTTTTCCACTTTTTATATGACTTCTTTTTTATTTTACGATCATACAAGATCTCCTGGTTAAGCCAAGGCAGTCTTTTGCTATACTTTCTATCTTTCCTACGCAGCAGAATAGGTTGCTTTTGAGCCCTTAATAATGTTCCTTTGAAAAACAGCCAACTCTCTTCAGTTGTTTTTCCTCTTAGTCTTGCTTCCCATGGGACCTTACCTACCAGCTCTCTGCGTTTACCAAAATCTGCCTTCCTGAAATCCATTGTCTCCATTTTGCTGTTTTTCCTTCTTCCATTCCTGCCCAACTCCCAGGTCTCTGTGTTTTTCACTTTTGTGATTGAGTTATGATGTTACTTCCCTTCTTCATAGTTTTTTCATAAGTAATGGTTTCCTTGGGCGAATGCTCAACCACCCACTCTGTCCCAGGTCCTGCCCTCTCCCCTTCTTCCCCTACATTCTCATGCCAACCAGCCTCTTCCTACCCTCTCCTAAGCATACACCATCCTAGCACCTCCCTGCTTTCTCCCAGAACTTTCTGCACATTACAAAACAGCTGACTGCATGGGTAGGAGGCGCTGGGAGGGAGGAGGTGGAAATGAGGGAGGATGTGCTGGGGGGGAATGGGGAGAGCTGGCCAAGCATTTTACATTCTCTACATGCTCTCTCTCAGAAATCTCTATTGTGTACAGTTATTGGAATAGTAGATTCCCTTTGATGGAGTACCTGAAAGGCTGGTTGTGGGTGTACTTGGCCTTTTGACATATTTGAGTATCACACACATAGCAGAACTTCATAACTTCACATACAATGATAGCACATGCAATCCAATAGGATATTAATGTTCAGTAGATCAAGATCTTTAAATTATACCTTGCCAGGCAGCATACTCTATACAAAACATATTGTAATTCTGATGGTCCCCTTCTCCCATGCTTTATGAAGTTTGGCTTATGAATATAAATATTCATAACTCAAAGATGCTTTAAACAAAATACCTCAAGTAACTTGTGAATTTTGTGTTACAGCTTTCTGGAATTGTATATCCTATTTTGGTGCATGTATCATTCTTGTATGTAAAGTTAGAAAGATGAAGTATGAGACTGTTTATAGTTTTTAAATGTGCAATGAGAGCCTTTACTGGTGCCTCTCCTCCCAGCCTTAACAAGTTGGTGATCAACTTAACAATGTGTAAACAGCCTTGTTTATCCAGTAAATCCAAAGGTGACTGGACAAGTAAGACATGTGACCATGACACCTGGTACTGGGATTCTATGTTGACCCTGGTAGTTTTCCATGGAAAGGGGATGTAGAACAATAGAGGAAAGGCTATTTAGGCAACGGGAAACTATCAGCCCTTTGTCTTCAGCTGGTCTGGAAAACTCTGAAAGGATGTAAAAGACTGGGGACCCACATCAGGATAAAAGAGGTTGTCTCTGACCTGAAGATAGTGGCAGAAATAAGAACAGCTTTTTAGGGTAAGGATCTGCTTGCAATATTTTTTTTTTAGTGAATTAGCACTGTGCATTTTCTTTTCATTTTAACTTAGTAACTTACTTTGATTTGATTATCACTTGTAATCACTTAAATACTACTATTTGTTCTTAATAAAAACACTTTTATTTACTATCAAGCCCAGTGTAAATAATTGTTATCTGGGGGAATGACGAGTGTGCATATCTCTCATTGCTAAAGAGGCGAACACCCTCCTGAGTTTTCCTTGTGTAAAACATTTACACAGAGAGAGACAGATTTATTTGAGATTTTCATCCCTTTAGGAGGTTAGTTTCCTGGATTCTGTGACCTAGAAGTGCATTCTCCCAGAACTGAAGTAGTTCAGAGTCTGCGTTACTATTCGGGGGGAGGGGGAGGAGGAGGAAGGGGAGTAACACCAACTCTGTACGTTGTCTCTGGGAGACCAGAGGCTCTGACACATCAGAACAGGATGGTGGGGAGCCCCAGAGAGCAAGGGTGTCAATGGCATGATCAGCACACTGGGGAACAATTCCAAGGGGTCTTCTGTGACCACACGCCATCACAATAATTATATGACAGTGGTGAATACAAGGATTCCAGGGTGTTGATTTGAGGTACAGAGTGCCATGGAGCCTGGATCCTCAAAGATACTTAGGCACTTAACTCTCATTGATTTCAGTGAGAGTTAGGCATCAAAATGTTGTACCTTTGAGGATCTGGGCCTACCTGCATAATTTGATCATCATTTATTGTGACAGATGAATGTTGGATGATGACACTTCATTTTTATTCTCTCTTCATGTTATAGATCCAGGAGGATTATATTTTTGTAAACCCTAAACTCTTGGAGGCTACAAACATGTCACTGGAAGATATTCATATGAACACACAGGACTTGCTGCAAAAGGAAGAACTAGATGCTGGAGGATTTGGAATGGTTTCTTTATGTTATCACAAGAAATATGGGCTTGTGGTATTAAAAACAGTGTACACGGGACCCCAGCGCATGGAGTAAGTTGGAAAGCGAAGGGGGCTTGATTCTCATTTACAATAAAAGGTCCCTTTACATCACTGGCATTGTAAATGGGCCTTACATCTGCACACCTTTTGAGGCCTTTTTTACATTGCCAGAGTAGTATAAAAAAATCTTTGAGTAAATGGCGCTTTGGTGCAGAGAATATTTTCAGGATGAATATAAAGTGTGCAGTAGTGAACTCACCAAATGATTATGGAGAATGTCTTCTACATTAGGGCTAAGAGTAAATGATGGTTATTAAGGAAGTTAAATCTGTTATTAGCAACTTGCATTAGTGAAATATTGCATGGTCTGTATAGGGAATTCATCTTTGCTACCTATCTTGAACTATTATTATTATTATATGCTATATCTATGTGAAGCATTGCTGGGTTGCATTGTTGTGATCTCTACATTATACTTCTCTGCCTCTTTGGTAGTTGTAAAGAACTTCTATTTTTTTAAAGGGAGGCAGTGTTGCCTAGTAGAAAAAACACTGGATTTGGACTCAAATTCAAGTCCCCAGTTTGCCAGATATCATGTGTGACTTTGGGTTAGTCATTTCCTTACTCAATGCCCAATTTGTAAAATGGGTATGATGATACTGATCTCCTTTGTGAAGCAATTTTGAGATCAACAGATGAAAAGATAGACTATGTAATGTTTAACATTTTTGGAAGAAAAGTTTTCTGTTTAGACAGTGCGGGCACCAGTTGGACTTTCAGGTAAGGTTTTTATTTTTCCTCAAAAGTTAATCTTTATAAAGCATTGCATCAGTTTTATAATGCAGTTCTCCATTTCCTGGGAATTTCAATAATTTCCATATGAGTTCCTTAAAAGCAAATAAACCTTTGTGTGCTTAAATGAGAGCAAGAATTCAACTGGGTGGCACATTTTTTTAAAGCATGCAAATGAAAAACATAATCAGGCACTTACCAGGAAATGTCCAGTTAGGAGTAGCAAGAAAACAATGTATTATTTTAAATAATACTGTTCTGGTCATCAGCTGGGTTTAAACCCCAGAGTTACACCATGAAGAAGGTGAGTCTCTGTTCCTTGAACTGAAGAACTAAGTATTTGAGGTCAAGTCCACTGCATTTAATGCAAAAAATCCCATTGATTTTAGTGGATTTGGGGGTCAGGCCATCAGTCCAGTAAGCTGCAAGTGGTAGTAATATTGTAAACCTCTTATGTGGACCAGCTACTTTACAAATACCCACATTCTTCCAGCATGGTATAAAACTCAGAGGCTATGTCTACACTCGCGGCTTCTTGCGCGAGTAATATGCAAATGAAGCTAACCGTGGAATATCGCCGAGCCTCATTTGCATACCTAATGAGCCATCGTTTTTTTCAGAATTGGCTCATGCGCAAGAAGGAGCGTCTACACTGCCCCTTCTTGCGCAAGAAAAACCCTCTTGCGCAATGCCGTTACACCTATTACTTGACAGGCATGCAAATGAGGATCGGCAATATTCCACACTTAGCCTCATTTGCATATTACTTGCGCAAAAAGCCGCGAGTGTAGACATAGCCAGACTGTGGAATGGTTCCCAATTTAGTTTTAAGAGCAGAAAGTGACTGAAGAGATTGTGATGGTCTACAGACTGTTGCAGCACTTTCCCCCCTTACAGGGTTGCCAATTTTCCTGACCAGATGCCATTGCCTAGTGTCCGAACCTTCGAGTCGGGAAAGTTGACAACTCTTGTCCCTTACCCCCACTGGCTGCTTTTATTGTTTTTTCTCTCCTCCACTACCTCAAATCCTTAAGTTTATTTTTGCTTTAAAATGTTGGTCAGATGCCTTAAACAAGCCTCTAGCTGAAAGCAGATCAGCCTCTTCTGCATTGCTGTAGAATTACACTCAAGGCTGAGAAGGGGCAGTTTCCCTTTGAATCACAGCCTGGGAGAGTGCTAGCACACAATTGTACTACAAGGAAGCTACTACTTCCTCTTGCGGTCTGGCCACAATGTTTTTTCTTCTTGCTAACTTGACTCTGCCCCATTTAACACAATGCTCACAGGGATTTTTTTTTCAACATGTGCACTCTTGAGTGGTGGTGTGAACAGCAAGAGGCCCAGCTGACACAGCAGAATGTGGCTTGGAACAATCAGTGTTCCAAACCATTATTCCATAATAATAAGGGTTATAAACACCCAGTATCCATAGACAGTGCTTAATTTGTGCCTCTAGGCTTGGCAGTTCATAGCCCTGGCACCTATGGCCTCCCAGCCAGCAGTCACTGCTCTCTGGCCACCCAGCTGTGAAAGCTACATTGTTGCCCACAGCAGTGCGAAAGTAAGGGTTGCATTACCCCATACTATGCCATTCTTACTTCTGTGCCGATGCACTGATTTCATAACCATGTGGCCAGCCACCAGTCACTGGCTACCCCACTAGAGCTTAATTTGTGCACCTCTTTCATTATAAATGAAGCATTACCCACAGTCATGCATGGATGATCCCTCTGTAATCCTGTCTGAAATTAACTTTTAAGACAGTCTTGGAAAACTAGTGCTTTACTAAAGCGTCCTAGGGCTTGTCTGCGCTTACAGCACTGCAGCAGTTCAGCTGCACTGGTAGAGATGCGTCACTGGGGGGCTCACTGAAGCCATTATCTACTCCGCTGGGAGAGCTTCTCGCATCAGCATAAGTACTTCACCTCCCTGAGGTGCTATAGCTAGATTGACAGGAGAAGCCTTCCCATTGACATAGCACTGTCTACATCATATTAAGGTCTGTAGGACTGCAACCCTTGGGGTGCATAGCAACATTTGACGCAAGTTGGTGACCATGCCCTACATAATCCATTTGAGTCTCTGCACTAAGTAACTGCCTTTTTATTTCTATCTGTCTCCCCATTCTCCCTCTTTCTCTGTGTATTTTAGGCATCTCACTTAAGGATCCTTAACCAAAAGGACAGTGTTTCACACAAACATTGGAAAACAGCCCTCTGTGGGAATACAAAACTAATTGTGCCCTCTGTTAGCTATTGCTAAATGCCTACTCCTCTTTTATAATTTGAATGAAATTAGATTATATTTTCAAATGTGTCCTTAATTTGTATATTAATCACTGACTTATAAAGTATATTCATTGACATCAGAGTTAGTCGCCACTGAGATGTTCATACTTTTCAGATCCATTGTTTCAGACTGTATGGAAACTCAGTCAGATACAACCACATTGGTTACACTTGGGTCATGATTTGAAAATTTCCTTTAAACCCATAACAGCTGGAGGCTAACTTTAAAAAAAAATTAAGAAAGGTTCTATAGGACAGTTACAACATCTGTCTGTATGTCCCTTTCCCCTGGCTAATTCTTCATCCCCCCTGGATTAATTTGCTTTGAAATTCTAACTATATTATTATAATTTTAAATAGGGAGAAAGGTAGTGACAAATCTAAAGTAATCCGTGTTTAGTGCCTTACTTTATGTGTTTTGTAGTAAATTAAGCTAATTAATAGACATGCTCTCAAAGATTAATTGTAACTATTTTCCAAAGTTTAAAAAAAAGTTATGAGGCCTAATTTTTAGCACATTTGTAAATAAACTAGATACATGCAACTCAGGGATCTGTATTCACACATTTAGCATGACATACACAAAGCATTATATCAGCTGTGGCCAATCAGTGGCTCTTAAAAAGTGTGGCTTGCAAAGCCACCCCAGTTCTCCCCCCAAATGTCCCTCGCGGTCCCTCCCCCAGCTTCCCTGTGTTTACCGGGTCCTTCCCTGTGCTTTCTGGGTTGGAGCTGCAGGCTTTTAAAAATGGTGCCCAAGATGGTGGCTGTCTTAAAGGGGCAGCCTCCTTTAAATTTTTTTTTTTTTTTTTTTTTTTGCTCGTCAATTCTGTTCTGGGGGCGGGCTTTTTTTTTTCTTGACAGTTCTGGAGCGGCTCTTCACATTTTTTCCACCGCTGCTTTGGCTCTCTTTGTTGAATAGGTTGGCCACCCCTGCATTATATACTAAGGCTGTAATATTGTACTCGATTAACCGATAAGCAAAAGCATATACAAACTACATGCATTTTCATTCCTCCCTTCCCCACCAGTAAATTTTTTAGCAAGCTAGCCAGCAGCCCAGCTCAGTCCCAGCTTGTGCTGGGTCCAGGACCTACGCCTGCTGTGGCTCTGCATTTAAAGTGTATTAGAAGCCAGGCAGCCCGTCTCCATTCTGGCTTGTGCCAAGTCCAGGAGCTCAGATCCCACCTAGACAGGGACTGCTGCCATTCCACGCTGCTGCCTCTGAATCAGAGGCAACAGCCAGGGCAACATGCAGCTGGTTTGCAAGGGGAGTTGTTTTTTAAACTGGCTCCCCTCGCAGACCAGCTCCCACCTGGCACCCCATCCTGCTGCCTCTGATACAAAGGCAGCAGTGCGGAGTGGCAGGGAGCTCCTCGGGAGAGGGACCGGAGTGCACTGGCTGCCAGCCCCACCCCTGGGGACTATAGAATAGTCAAGTAACCAATAAGAATTCATGTGGTTAATCGACTATTCAATTAACCGATATTTAACATTCCTATTATATACCTACACACGTCTTGAAAATTAAGAGTATGTAGACTAGTTACACAGGGAACAGGTACAGGCAGTCCCCGGGTTACGTACAAGATAGGGACTATAGGTTTGTTCTTAAGTTGAATTTGTATGTAAGTCGGAACTGGCTCCAGATTCAGCCACTGCTGCTGAAACTGACCAGGGGCTGACTACAGGAAGCTGGAGGCAGAATTGCTCTGCCCCCAGCTTCCTGGAATCAGCCACTGATCAGTTTCAACA